CACCGCCGCGTCGGGGCCTCCGCGCCGCCCTGGCCCCGCTCCCCCCGCTGCCGAGCCTGGATTCCTTCAGTCGGGGTCTGCAGCATTTCTCTTCTCTTCAGCTGCAAAATAATGATAAATTAGAAGCCGTTTGGGGAACTCGGGGCCCTGCTTGGCTTCTCAGACGTTCTCCAGCTCGTTTGCGCCGCAGACCACCCTCGGCGAGCTGCTCGTCGCCCTGTTCCCCCTCGTTGATTTAAGGACTAAGTTAGCAGATCCCAGGGCAAATAACAAGCAGCAAATGCCGAGGAGGGGGCAGAGTTTCTCTGATGCCTCAAGTCGCTCCTTCAAACTCAAAAGAGAAATCATCTTATAAAGCTGCCTTTATGGTTTCTTTTCTGCAGCAATATCTTTACAAGCTCCATATGTAAAACCACACACAGGCCCAGATCAAATAGAGCCTTTGAGACTAAACAGAAGTGGAGAATATTAGTGATACTTTTAGTTTAGACATTTTTGAGGTAGTGGTGCTGCAAATCTCAGTGTTTTATAGTACACTGAAGGCCCTTTACGTGCTCTCCTCTGCTCCTCGGGCCTGGGGGCTCCAAGTGCTTATCCAGCCCTGTTGCCAGGTCCGGCCAGGCACCTTCGCCTCCGTGCTGCTGTCCGGGCATCCTGGACCGGCCAGAGGGTTTTGGGTGTCTGTGGTAACATCCCCATTTTTTCCCCCCCTTCCCTTTTGAGGAAATGCAATTATTGTGGATGCCAGGAAGAGTTAGGATCAGACACATCTTTCCTAAGGCTGCTTGGACCAGACAAAGCAACTCACAGCCACTCGAGGCGGTGGAGGTCCTCAAAAAGCCTGGGCTTCAGCTGGGTGATCTTGTTGTGGCTGAGGAACCTGGAACCACGAAAGAGGAGGACACTGATCTTCAGACAACAGGGTTAATTAAGCTAGCTTTTTTAAAGCTATTCTTTCCTCGTTGCTCACATGACCCTTGTTTTCCCTGCTAAGGGAACTGCCTCTTGAAGTGGCTCAAGTGTGGAAGCCTGATTCAGCCTGAGAAACGTGGGGAAGGGAACAAACAGCTGGGTCTGTAAGAGCTAAGTTTTTCTGCTCTGCCCCATATTCACCCAAAACATGTACCTCCCGTTTGAGCATGTTTGATACCGACTCTTGCAGAAAGAAGAAAAAGCAGAGGAGAAAGGCATCAAAACTAGACTCATGCCAACTGTGCTACGAATCTCCTGTGCCAAGAGGAGCAGAGGACCACGTCTGTCCCCAAGCTCCCCTCCCCAGCCTCGTGTACCACAGAAACCTCTACTTACAACATTTTAAGCTGAAAGAGTCCAGCAAAGGCCTTGGGGGAGATTGACCGGATCTTGTTGTTTTGCAAAAAGCTGTTTAGAAAACAGAACAGAAAACAAATAGAAAAGAAAAGATGGTTTCCTCCAGGATTCCCAGGCGCTGTGTGTCCCAGGAAAGCAGCTGTGTGCACACACCCGGGGATGCCGGCAGCGCAGCACCGCCCCGGCAAGGGGAGCGTCCCGGACCCGCACCGCGAACAGGGCTGCACGAGCGCCGCAGGTGCCCACGGCGAGCGGGGAAGGTCGCCTCCAAGCAATGCACAGGCTTGCAGATGGGAGAGCAAAGCTGCAGCCCTCGCGCTGCCACAGGTGCAGTGTCTTAAGCAGCCCTGGAGAGGTCGTTTGCCCTCTCTCTGCTTCATTTACTGCACATGAGGGGAAGGAAGTTGAAAGTACAAATGCCTGACCATCACAAATGGCTGCTTCGAGGTGCGCCACTACCGTTATTATTGCACCGAGCTGCCATCCCACCCATGAGAACAAACACCTCTTCCGCACGCCGAGATATTTCACTTCCTAAACTCCAGGTGCAGCAGCCTGGAAAGGTGGTGTTTGTCCAAGTGCAGTGACTTGTAGAAAAGGCTCTAGGGCACTCCAGAGCAGCGGGCTGTTTGCTGTTCCCCACCGCGGCTGGTGAGATATCTCACTGTACCTCGCGCGCACAGCGTGGCCATTAGCAAACACGAGTCCTACTCGGCAGCACCAGGTTCCCGACCACTTGCTGGAAGTGGTAAAGTGGCGGCAGCGCATTGAGAGTCAGCAACGTTTATAAAAGGCACCTGCTGAGCGCAGCGGCCATCGGGTCAGGCTCCGGGAGAAACAGAGACCTTGCCAGAAGCCGGCAGGGCTCACTTGCCCCTCTTACCATGGGCAGGCCGAAAGCAGCATAGAGGAAGGCGATACTCACAGTTTCTCCAGGCTCTTGAACGTAGCAAACTGATTGTCCAGCAGAGAACAAATTTTATTTTTCTTCAGGTCCCTAGCAGGAAGATAGGAGGGGAAAAAAAAATCAAACTCACAGAGGGAGAATAAGGAAGAGGTTCAGGAGGCCTTTAACAAAGGGAGACATTAAATCATAAAATCTCCTCTCCTTGATCAATCCAAATGAAATGCAAGTCAGCTGCTGCTCGCTATGCCACGTTGCTAACTGCTCTCTTAATTTGGGAGCGTTAGTTGCTGCAGGTGAGCCTTCTGCACGCTCCTCCCTTCCCGCACGTGTGCCCAGGGCCCCCGGCCCCGGCGCCTCTCAGCTGGAGGCCTGGGGACGGGCAGAG